GGGGGGGGACTCTTTAGGAGAGTGCAGAGTGAAACAGGGCCTTGCTGTATCTTCTTTTGGGGAAAGAAACATTCCCCGAACACCGCAATACCGGTTTTGTTTCTGCTGTTAGTAGGCCTCTCAGCCCCAAATCCTGTAAAGGATCATGTTGTGTTGCTATGATATGCGAATGATTGAGTTCAGTACAGGAAGCCATTTCATGCGTTTAGGGTGTTTGAAGCCGTAGGCTACAATCTGATCCATACGGAGAAAGAACACAGTAGGATTTGGTTAGATGAACGGGCTTAGGACCGAGCTGCACGTAGGATAGATGGATAGTTGGCAAGTAATTTTGTTGACTGCCAAAAAATGCTATGGTGTATTTATTTAGATACTTACATTCCGTATTTGTCTCAAGCAGCTTATATCTCTGTAGTCCCTGCGGTCGTTACTGTGTTCTTCCAACTTGCTGTTAAAGATAGGCTAGGTTGTCATTTTTTTCATCATTATGTCTTTTGTTAAAGACAAGCTAAATTATTATCAACTCTAAATCTTTAAATGTAAGGCCCATTATATTTCTTCTTTCCATATTTTGTAAATTGCAACATTACATAAACTATTTTATTCAGTCAAGCTGTTTCACGTGTGGCCTTACATTACATTATAACAAGCGTGTGGAATATAAAGGGCATAGGTTAAGCATATAACTATTTCCATTTACACTACTCTCCTGGTTTAATATAATGTTCAGGCACAGTTTGAGTTACACAAGTGAAAAGACATTCTTTGTGTGTGCAGTTTAATATATGCTATAGCTTTCCATACAGTGAAATGTTCATCCATGGGGCTAAAACAATGATGTATTGCCACAGATAAGTTAATGCATGTAGGTACTCCATGCACACCGTATCACATCGGAGTCAGTTCATTCACACATATGGTAAGCATGCTGCCAATTAATGACTTAAACAGGTCTCACAGTTACCCTGTCATGTATAATGCATTGTTTGTGGAGCGCTTAGGTGCTCAAATGCTTTACTCATGGGCACCAGAACATCCGTTTCACGTTTTTTGGAGGTGAATGGTCTGTTTACATAAAGATTTGGGAAGGGACATCCTCTTTGAGTACTGAAAATCAGTCTGGTCTCATGACAGCACAGTCATATCTACTTCATCACGCAGCCAGTTCCAGTTTGCATTGAAACTTGGAAAGACCAACATATATTACTTCAAAGGGCTTGATAGTAAATACTGTGTCTGCCTCACTTAAGAACATAAGAGAAGCTGTATTGGATCAGGCCAATGGCCATCTTGTCCAACACTGTATCACATAGTGGCCAAAACCCACCTAAGTTATATTGAAATGCCTGGCCATACATGAAGCCATTTAACCACATAAAATAATGTATTTAAACTTTACAGTTTGCACAGTATGCTAAAAATTATATATTGCACTTGAGCTAGTGCTTTAAACTATCTTGATACATCTAATTTTATCTTGGCAACATAACCTACTAAAAATTTTTGAATGCAATTTCACTTCTCTTAGATAGTTTAGCATTTATGAAGTTGTTCATATTATGGATGTAGAGACTATTGTTTTTGCACATCAAGTTCTGAAGATACAAGGCTTTCAGCATTCATATACTGAAAGCAACCTGGAACAGACACTGAAGTACTGATCACTTGCAAGAGGGAGAAACTGGTTGTGTAAAGCAACTACCAGAATAAGCAAAATTGTTTAGTTATCCTTTATAACTCACCTTGAAGCCAAATTATAGTTTGATGGATCTTGAAAGATTTTGGTTCTTAAAGTCCTCTTTAGGTGCTGCTACGCTGGAATCAGTCTATAGTGGTACTTGCAAAATCAAATTTGATTCTTGTTTTTTCAGCATACAACTTAATGAATTCTTTTGATAGTACCTGGTCTTCAATCATTTAAGTAAAACTGCATCCTGCTTAGTGAGCAGATCTAAAGTATACTTAATATACTGTGGTCAAAGAGATTTTGAATAGAGTTGTTAGATAATCACACTTCTGTCAACTTATTGACACAAATCAGAGGGAAGTTCAGATAAGTTAATGTTTTAAGTTTGGTAAATACTGGTGATCTCCGTGCAGTAATGATGATACCAATTTCAGTTAACTGCTGAATCAAGCAGGAAAAGTGAAATGAAGCATAAATTTGCCTCAGTTGGTTACAGCTTTTCTATGGATGAAGTAATGATTGGTTTATCCTGAAAAAGAAAGCTTCAACTAGTAAAGATGTAGATTAAGCACCCACATGAGCAAAATATTAAAAAGTCTGACCTAATAGCGATACCCATGTTCCCAGTAAAGGCTCTAAGCTATATAGGAACAAAATAACATGGGTATGGCTGAGGTCTGTCATCCTGAGAAAAGTGTGAAAGTTCAGTTGTTGACAAAATCCAGGGTTTCACTGGGGCTACAGTGTAAAAAATAAAAAGCCATGATTTAAGTGGGGTTTGAGTGCTTTTGTAGTAGTTTTTACATGTCTGGTTTTCTGAACCCTTGAGTCTCAGTTACAAATGTGGGCAATAAGTGAAGTTTAATAACCTGATTTTATGCATATTTAGTAAGAAAGAACTTGTATTGAACTCTTTGGAAGTTATTTCAACTTTTTATAAATAAGATCTCAGCCTTAACATTTTATGGTGTTACAAAGATGCTGACTATACAACTAAGAGGGCCAAATTACCCTAGTGTTTGTTGCTTCTTCCCCCAGAATTCACAATGACTAATGAAGAGCCGCTTCCAAAAAAGGTAAGCTTGAAAATCTTTACCCCTTGTATTTTTCCAGTAACAAATAAAGAGAAGGCTAAATCTTGATTACTTTGTTTTATAGGTTCGCTTCAGTGAAACAGACTTCAAGGTTCTGCCTAGGGAGGAATTGATCTTAAGGTAAAATAATCATGTTCTTCAAATGTGCAGTTAATGTTTTTCTGTCCATTTTGAATAATTTCTGTCCTCATGGTAACATCTTAACACTATGAATAAAGCTGTTTTTAAAGAAATAAACAGTCTAAATAACTTAAGAACATATGAGAAGCCATGCTGGGTCAGGCCAGCAGCCCATCCAGTCCAACACGCTGTGTCACACAGTGGCCAAAACCCAGATTTCTAAACTTGGGACAATAGTTAGGCAAAAGGATCTTTGCTGTTTACATTGAGGTAGGGAGTAAAGCCTTACTTATTTGGAATGGAGCAAATAATGTGAAATGCTTAGACTAAGGAAGTTTAGAATTTAAAGTGTCAATTTTTGCCATTTGTCTATGCTGTAAGACTTGAGAGAAAATGTCAGGAAAAAAGAATGTAAGCACCTCTCCCATTGCAAGTGCCTCTTTGTTTTTAATAGGAACCGACAATACATTTTCATGCTTTGCTTCATTTCTGATATTAGAAATTTGCTTAATGTTGTATATAAAGCTGTCTAGGATGTAGTATGTAATGTTAAGCTTATTGGAATGACATCAAGGGTAGTGATTTAGATTTGACCTAAGGAAGCTACTAAGTTTATTTGTTCATCTTAAACTACTTCGTTTCTCATCCTAAATTACTTTGTACAGTGGGATAACCCTGTGAATTCTGCTCTAAGCTTCTTGGTAGACAGACTAGATAAACTAAATTGAATAAATGATTATAGTATTTAATATTAATCTCAGTGCACAACAAATACTGCTTTGCGCAAGGGAGGAAGACTGTATGGTAACAGAACAAAAAACGAAGTAAAAACCAAGCACTGTAATAGAGAAAGACCATTAGTTAACTTATTTAGCATGCTTTAATTCTTTTCATTGGTAGAACAGAAAATGAAGTATTGGGCATGTTAACTTCACATATGTGGGGCTATGAAAGAATGTTTCAGTTTTTGTGAAGATAATGTTTTTAGACAGGACGACTATAGATAGGAATTGGAAAGCACAATGATTTATTGGAAGCAATTCTATTAAAGCTGGTAGAGAATGTGTATGTATTTCAGAAATTTCATGTATATTGTAGATTTGCCTTAATCTTTTTAAACCTGAAAAATATTTTTAATCCCTCAGGTGGAAACAATATGAAGCATATGTACAAGCTCTGGAGGGCAAATACACAGACCTTAACTGTAAGTTGGGACAGAATTAATTGTGATAGGACATTTGAGGCATATCTTGAGAAACAGAAGTAACTATAAAGCAGTTTCTGGAAATCAGCAGTTGGGCTGTACATAAGTATGTTCCAGAAATTATTTCTAAACAGTCTGTTAATTACACTTAAACAAAGTTTAACAGTGGTGGCAAGATATCAAAAAGTTAACAAATATCTACAAATATGTCTATGCGCAGTTGCCATCTATATGCCCTGTATTCAAATGTTGATGTTGTTTGATTACTGGAGGTGGGCATTTATCTATCCAGTGTTGTAATATCTTTTAGCAACTGTAAATGCATGGAGGGCCCATTTTTGTTGACCACCAGTTAGTGTTTAGGAGACAGGCAACAAATTTAAATGTACATAAGCCTTCTCAAAGATGGTGAATATTCTAATGCAAAATTGACATGAATACTTAACTTAAGGCCCTTAATGACCACGGACCTACATATCTTTGGGACTGCTTCTCCCGGAATACCCTCAGGAGAGCCTTGCTGGTGGTCCCCAGCCCGAGAGACATCTGGCTGCTCTCAGCCAGGGCCTTTTCTGCCCCGGCCACAACCCGGTGGAACTCTGCCAAGTTCCATCTGGGCCCTGCGGACTTATTATTGTTCCGCTGGGCTTGTAAGGCAGAGATGTTCCACCAGGCATTTAGCTGAGGGCAGCAATAGTTCCATCTTGGCACTTCCGCTTTTTTCACACACACCCATGAGATAGTGACACCATCAGGACTCAGACATCTCGCTTTATCTAGAATCTAATGTTCTATTGTTTGTTGTTTGGTTTTAATTGTTCCTTTGCTGGTTTTATATCACTGTAAACTGCCCTGAGCCCAGTTTCCAGGAAGGGCAGTCAAAAGTCCAATAATAATAATAATAATTCTGGTGAAATGGCACAATGGAGCCATAGCAGTGTGTGTGTGTGTAAATACAGGAATAGAACAGCGCCATTCAACAATAACTGACCAGCAAGTGAGATGCTAGTACTTGGCCAAGAGCACAATGACAAAGCCCTGAGGGACAATAGCATTCAACATCTTTAAGCAATCCATATGGAATCCCTATCTCATAAGATCATCTTGGAAAGATCTAGGTACCACTGTGGGTTGCCATATTATTATTATCATCAGCAACAGCAACAACAACAACACCTTCCTCCCCAAAAGAACAAATAACTGGAAAGGTGTAAAGCATATGTTTAAGAATACGTATCTTGTAAGTTATAGCACCAGCAATTAGACAACTTACTTCTTTTTTACAAGGGCACTGTAGTGTCCAGTATATCCTAAAGAATGGCATTTAAGAATCATAGTCCTTGAAGGGACCAGAATGTTTATCTTCCCTGGGAAGCAGGAAGGCATGTTGATGACATTGCCAGGTCAGTTCTCCAGCATACAAAAGCTATCTGTCACTGCCCTGTGTAATTCAGATTAGAGAACTGTAAACAATAAGAATATAAAAGTCTTCTGGATCTGACCATAGTCCATCTAGTCTAGCATCCTGTCTCAAACAGTGGACAGCCAGTTCCTGTGGACAGCCAACAACAGGGTATAGAGGCTGAGGCCTTCCCCTGATGTTGCCTCCTACCTCTGGGATTCAGAGGCACTAAGCCCCCTCAGAGGTCCCCCTCAGTCACCATGGCTAATAGCCATTGATGGACTTATCCTCCATGAATCTATGTAATCCCCTTTTAAAGTTGTTTATTTCTGTGGCCATCACTACATTCCCTGGCAGTTAATTCCACATTTTAATTACTCTCTGTGTAAAGTAGTATTTCCTTTTTTCCATCCTGAGTCTACTGCCCATTTTATTTAAAGGCATTTGTATGTATTTCTTAGTCTCTGTGTGGCTTATGATTAATATTGTGGGTGGTCCCCACCTTTCCAACCTCCTGTCTCTCCTCTTTCCATCCCCCTCAAAACTGTCTTCAGCATCTATTGGGTTACTATGGCAACCCACAGTGGTACCTAGATCTAGAATTAGAATGGTTTTGTAGTCATAAATGTTAAAACCTTAGGCTTGAATTCCAGGTAGTGTAAAATGAAGCCTTATTGTGCCATGTGGAGGCTATGCTTTTCCAAGTCAGTGGACTCTTGGGGGCAAAGTTGGGGGTGGTTTTCAGTGTGATTTGGGAATCAGCAGAAACTGCCATTCCCTGCTCCACCAGTGAAAATGCTATTAATGGCAGTGACATGAGAACTTAGGATCTGAACCTCTACATTCCTTAAATCATCTTTAGACTATTTCCATTTGGTTGTCCAAGCCCTGACATTGTACATTTGAGAACATTGACTGGTGGCTGAAGCTTGACAAAGTATCCCCCTAATTTGGAAGCTGTGGCTACATTTCACATTGTTAGTTCTTGTATTAATGACTGTGGACTAAACTTCAGAATAAGTTATCACCTGATGAGTCCATTACCTACCTTCCCAAATCGGGAGACTTCTGACATTGAACCCTGCTGGTTGCTGCACCCATCTACATTAAGGAAGCAAACATCTGTGAGGGTCTTGGCCAGTTTAGTTGTTTTTAAAAATTCAAAAGTTCTTGTGTTCCATGTACAGCTGGAATTGACAGTTAAAACAGTTGTTTTTTCTATTTTCATGTTGTTTATAGAATGACTCTTAGTAGTTTTGTTCTGTTTTCTTTCCCATTGGTCATCAAACAAATGTACTTGCTTCAGTTACATAAACACATTCCAACAGACCTTCACACTATAAATTGGTAATGAAACATGGGCAGTTGCAGTGCTCTGCATCCTTGGTATCTGAGTTACTTGAGCTCTTGAATAATCTCAAAATTATCTCTTTGGTGATACCAGTTCAACAAAACGTGCCTGCCAGCCTTGGGATTAATACTGTGAACAACAATTAAGGGCTAACAGATAGCACAGGTAACCATGGGATGCCTCTAGAGTGTAGTAAGAAGGCTAGTTTCCTAAACATACCTAAGAGAGTTCTGCTTCAAGTTTGAGTTTTAATTGCTGTGCACCTGCTGACTGAATTCAAAAGGAAGTGGTGTCAATGCTAAATTCTCTTCTCTCATTAGGCCCTTAGAACATTTTGGACTTGCAGAAGCAGCCACTATTGGAGCTTTCATGCTCAGCAGTTGATTCTTGCAGTAGAAAGACTGATAGAACCTAATGAGCAGGCTACTTGTTTAATAGATTCTAAATGTGTTAGGGCTGAGTCATGAATCCACTTAATATGTCTTTGATTAAGAAAGTTATGCTCACATGTGTATACAGAATACTTTGGTCACAATTATTGACTTGCTTTAATATGAAAGCTTGTTGAGTTTTTCAGTTTTCTTGCTTGTATAATGTGTTTATGTGCCATCAATTCACTTCTGACTTAATGGCAACCCTATGAATTAATGTCCTCCAAAACATCGTTAACAGCCTTACTCAGGTCTTGCAAACTGAAGGCAGTGGCTTCCTTGACTGAGTCAATCCATCTCATGTTGGGTTTTCCTCTTTTCCTGCTTCCTTAAAAATTTTTTTTAGCATTATTGTTTTTTCCAGTGACTCTTGTCTACTCATAATGTGTACTCATCAATGCTGCATTGAGTTTTGCAGTTTTAGTATTCTTGTTTGATAAAATATGTAAACTGTATGTTGGAGAGAAATAGCTGAACACACTGTGAAATCAGATAAAGTGGATTCTTTTACTTAAAGACTTTAATCTGGTAGTTTTTGAACTGTCACAGACTTCTCTGTTTTTGTTACAACTGACTAACATGGCTACAAACGTAGGAAGAAAAACCTTTGTTAGACATAGGGAAGAGATTTTTAGCCCCTGCAAGCAGAAAAAATGAGACCAGTTCACCACTACTGCCTTTCAAACCACAGTATGCATGATAGCAAGGGAAGGATATACCACAACACCAGTACAGGAGTCATCATTTGTATACTGGAAATTATATTTTCATAGCAGAGACGGGAGCGTGGGAATAAAGAGTAGTACTAGGATAGGGGGCTGTTCTTTCAGTGCTGCCACATTCACCCAGCTTTGGTGTAGAGCTCTTCGGTTTCTCTCTTCAATCCCCATGAGTGGCATGGGCCAATTTAGAAAGTGAGCATGGGGAAAAGTTTTGACCAACTTAGTATTGCCTTTTCTTATTCAGAAAAAGTGATATATTTAACATCTTGAAAGGCTTATACTAGTAAACTTTTTTGCCATTTAAAACTAGCCAATGATGTAACTGGACTGAGAGAATCTGAAGAAAAGCTGAAGCAGCAGCAGCAAGAATCTGCTCGAAGGGAAAATATCCTGGTGATGCGTCTAGCAACTAAGGAACAAGAAATGCAAGAGTGTACCGTAAGTGAAATTGTTTAAATTGTTGGAGAACAAAATGTTTGTTGTATTTGTATAAGTTAAGAAATTGAGCTTTATTGCCTAGCTGTGGATGGTATTGGCAAGCAGGACTGAAATTAGTGTGGATCCCTGTTGTATATTGGCACTCAGTGGTTAGGCAGATGTTTCTGGGTCCTAGCTCAAGATATTATGTATGGATGGATTTTGTCCCCTTATGGCAAGATGTGTTTGTGTTTAAGTATTGATGTACTGAGAATGAAGCTTCACTTGCGAAGTAGAACTTTCCTGCCTCTCCCCTTCCACTGCAGCCCAGTGCTCCAAAAAAACTGCCTTTGGGTTTCAGGGAGCTTCTAGGAACAACACTGGGCACACTATGGGTGTCTGTAAAGGGTTCTTACATCTAGTTCTTACATGAACCCAGGTTCTTGTAGTTGTGAAATTTATCATTTATATAGCACTTCCAATGTCATTAACATTGTCGCAATACAGATTTTTTGTGCTGTGTGTGATTATTAACATATTGAAGGGTGAAGCTGTGGGACAGAGATGGGTTTGTTTGAGGCTATTTAGTGACTTTGTGACACAAATGAAATTTGAACAAGAGGCCTCCTGGTACACAGCTCAGTCACTTAGCCATTATATCTACTAGGATTTTATCTCCAAATATTTTGTATTTATTTGGACACTTTTTATTTGGATACCTTTCCATTCCAAAGAATCCACAGAGTGAATCACAGCAATCTTTTAAAAACAGCTGTTGGAGCTGTTGCTGAAATTGGGGTGGGTAGAATAAAACCTTGAAAACTGCTGAATCGTCCCTGTAGAGAGGTACTGGTGGGTACCGTTTCGTTTTTTTCTTATTGCCATTAAGTCTAATATTACTGTCTTACATTTAGAAACGTTTACAACAATTTAAGGAAATTGATGAATAGTGTAGACCATATATGAAATTTAACATCAAATAAAGCTCCAAAATATTCCAATTCTTCAATAATTCTTGTTATTTAAATGTTCTTATTTAAATCTACTATTCAAAACAATTGGTACACAGACAAGTTAAGAACTTAAAGGAAACTTAACATTCCCAGAATAAACCTCAACTGTTCCAAAGTGGGGAAAAGGCTTCTCAGTTCCAAACTGGAAAAACACTAATGTCCATAAAGCAAGTAAATCCAGTCCTTAGTCGCAGCAGACATTACATGATGAGCTGCAGTTGACCCATTCTCCAGTTTTTCGATGGGTTATTGATCCCTTCATCAGGACTACACATCGACAGGTTCTCCCAGAAAGTAGGGTACCAATTGTTGAAGAATTGGAATATTTTGGAGCTTTATTTACATTTAGAAACAGCATGTTCCTGTTCTCTGAGCTTCCTGCCTCCCAGCAGCAGTAGGGGCCTTGAGGAGAACTGAGTTTTTGCATATCAGAACATCTACTTTAAATTTCATACTCAGGGCTCTTGGAGTGCCTCCGTAGCCTACAGTTTAGGGCTAACATATCTTGTCCAGCCAGCTGTGTCTCAGTAATAACAGTAAATATTAATGTGTGTTGAGGGGTCTGTGTTGAAGTTAAGTGGAATTCTCTACTGTAATCATGTTCAGTCATCTAAAATAATTTTTGAAGTGTCAGTCATATTGAAAACCATAGTACATTCATTCTATCAAGATAGGTAAGAACTGTTTTTGAATGTCAGTTTTGTGTGAAGTACAAAAGTCATTAATTTGGTCCGATGTCTCCTTGGAAATACCTTTAACCACCTGTATTTTTATACAGGTGGATATGCAAAGGTGAAAAACTATTGACAGCATTAAAAATTGTTGCAAGCCAAGTAGTTACTTGTATTAAAAGTATAAGTTAAACTGGAATCAGGTCTATTTATCTTATTTAAAAGGTAAAGCTTAAAGTAAATGATAAGTATGAACACTTACAAGTATAATGTCTGCAGACTTCTCAAATGCATTTCTTTTTAGACGATATAACAAAGGTCTGACCATACATTTAAGCATGTTCTGCTTAAATGTTTTAGGACTTTGTTGTTTAAAGATATCCTGAACAATATATTAATTCAGTGATGGAGCAAACAAAGGATTACACTGTCTGTAGAGTGTATTTAGTGATTGAACTTGGATTTATTCTCAGCTGGGGGTTCAGTCCTTGCTCAGAAAAATCCTAATTATGACAACCTTAAAGACTGTCAGAGTAAGCAAGGGCTCATGCAACATTATAAAAGCAGACTTAATAATTTTTCTTTCCTTTTATGCAGAATCAGATCCAGTACCTCAAGCAAGTCCAGCAGCCGAGTGTTGCTCAACTGAGATCAACAATGGTGGATCCAGCCATCAACTTGTTTTTCCTAAAAATGAAAGCTGAACTGGAACAGACTAAAGACAAACTGGAACAAGCCCAAAATGAACTGAGTGCCTGGAAATTTACACCTGATAGGTAAACAAAACATACTCCCCAGTCAAGACTTCCCTGACAGAAAATGCTTTGGTGGGACAACCACGTACTCGTTTCCACACCAAGACTCAGACGTTTTGAGCCAAAAGCCACATTCTTATACTGTCCAGCTTGTAATGCTTTATGTAAACTTACCAGATGAACCTTGTGTTTCAGCTTTTTTTCTCCCCCTTTGCTTCAGAGGCCTGACAGCGTCGGACTATTCTGAAGAAGTGGCCACCTCAAAAGTGACCTTTCTAGAACGTAGACATTTGCAAAGTGGTTCTATTTGAAGAAAATAGAGAGAGAAGCAGAAGTCTAAAGTCTGTGGCATGCTATGTCTACAGACAGTTTGGAGGAGAACCTAGAGATTTTAAATCATGAATTGACCATGTCAAATTCAAGTAAAACCTAAAAATGGAATATGCTTCGCTCTTAAACCTAGTGACTTAGAGACTGATTAAGTCAGTTTTGCCATTAAGACTGTGGACTTCCTCCTTGTTCACTGAACTGCTGGGTCAAAACTCAATGAGGTGAATTTTGCTTAAAGATATTATTTGGTAATCAGCTTTGAATAGCTGTGAAAACATGCAAACAAGTCAGTATGGGTTTTCTTAGCATTTGGGCTCCATAGGACATCAGCGAACCTTGTTATTACGGTTTTTAATAACAAATTGTTCTGTGGATGGCTGGCAATATGTGAATTCATAAATTAGTACTGTACGAACGTTTAGTTGCAATTTACTTACATCTTTTACACTGTTGAAACAGACATGCACATGCTTGATCACAACTAGCATATATTTTTTAAAATAGTTGTGATAATTTTGCTTCCATTCAGGTTTTATCCTAAGGAAATACATGCAGACTATACAAGGTGCATTAGTGCAGTTCCGGTCAGTGCTGGCGTGGGGCTTTTTGCAATCTATTGTATATCTGGCTTTTGTTCTGCACTTCTATATCCTATGTACCTTGAAATAGTTCTAATGCATAGTGCAAGGAATACTGCCAGTTATCCTACTGTATGTGAAGTTTTGTGGAGTATGACTCTAAAAGCACAGAGCAGACTAAATCTTCTCCTGTTTTCTTAAAGACATGGTTTGGAAGGTCATTATTAGCATATTACTAATTGGCATCAGTTCAAAAGAGTAATACCTCCTGGTTCCTCTTTCTTTTTGTCCCAAATTATTTCTAAAACTAGTACTATGGGACAGCTTAGGATGGAGAGAACTCTGACATTGTTTAGACTGGCATAGTATTTGTATATTCTTAGCCGGTTTCCATAGGTTTTAGTGAGAATATTCAACACTATTTCGTAGGAGGTTAAATTTCAGAAGAACGAAAGTAGTTAACTTGCTTGTTCCTGCATTCCAAATAATGGTATTCATTACATATGATTTATATTTGAGATACTTTGAAGTAAATTTTAGCTCTGCTTTAGGTCATCATTGCAGCATACAAAATGTGGTAGTGTGTGAATCCTTTTATCAATTAATTGATATACATCAAAGGAAAACGATAACATAATTCATAAAAATCATTGTCTGAACTACTTTGGTGTGATGGTGGAGAAGAATATTTTAAAGATCTAGCATCAAACAGAGGTAAGACTTTCAAAGTGAAAACAGAAAACAAAATTCTCTTGGTATGTTGCAACTGACTTTGTAAACCTTGCTGAATGTATTATCAGAAAATCATTCTTCGTAGGTCTGTGTTAATTGTGGTATGTCATACAGAATATTTGTAAAGTCCAAGTTAACCAAATGATTCCATGTTTGAATAAGGACTGGTAACTCCCAGTATTTTTAGGTTCTAAACAAGATGTTTATCTGAGAGTAACTCTTATTGTGTTTACTTCAACTAGACATCTGCAAAAAAGTTCCTGCTGGAATGAGTCTAACATACATAGCATATATGTCCACTTATCTGGGGGGGGGGATCAAAGAATTGGTGTGAAATTGCATTTCCTTAGATTTGATCTGCCTTACATTGCACAGTTGAATTGACTACATTTTTGAATAACCCAGAAATGGGTCTTTAATGTTTCCCTTTCAAGGTATATTTCCCTTTCAAGGTATATTTCCCTTAAATCCTTTTCTTTCTGTATGTGTTGCCACAGCACTTCTGACATATTTAAAAGCGCTTGTGCACTCTTCCACACTATTAAAGTAACTATAGAGTATCATATTCTATATACACACATGTAAAATCCTGGTGTTTACATAACACTTTTTATGGGTTGATTTCTTTGTCAGTCTATACTCAAAATCCTACTCTATTTCAAGAATTCGAATTATATTTAATTGCCCTTGGTGACAAATCTCTTGAGTGTTGTAGGGGTGAAATATTGAATTTTATAGCGCCTTGTGACTGCCACAAACATCATACATAGTATGTCTAATGGTGATTTTAACAGAAGCAGAGAGATGAATTACTTAACAGTAAATGTTTTAATATATTTCTAGTATATTAAACGTACAGGGGTTTGTTAGTTTGGTAGCGTTTTTATTTTTTTTCTTACCAAAAAAGGGGGGGGAAACTAAAAATCCAGCGACTAAGATTTTTTAAAAAATAAAAGAAAAAAACAGAATGAAATTATGTGGTCGTGGATCTACACATACGTTTCTACAAATGATTTCCAGTTATCTAAAAATAGGTCCATAGGCAATTGCCGTCTATATACCATGTGTTCAAATGTTGATAGAGTTCTAAGGTCCTCAATCCATTGATTTACAGGAGGTGAGCTTTTATCTTTTCAGTGTTGGAATATGAGTCTTATGAGTCTTTTAGCTTCAGTAAGGGCATGGAGGGTCCATTTCCATTGACCCTCAGTCTCCAAGAGATGGGCAAGATAGTTCAAAAGTTACAGAAGAATCCTCAGAAATCAATGAATGTTCTAATACAAAACTGATATGAGTAATAACTTCTTCCCAGAAAAACCGAATGACTGGACACGCCCAAAGCATATGCTTGAAGGACGCGTCCTGTAAGTTGCAAATTGGTAGCGTTTACACAGCAGTATGGTATTGCAGCTCTGATTCCTACTATATAGTTATTTAGTTACTATTCTTGCCTCTGTCATTTATTTAATGCTATAACAATATCCAATGAGTAGTTTCTTGGTCATTAAGTGTGACAAATGTTTGGTAAATTTGAAACTAAATGCATTATAAGTAACAATTCAAATTATTGTGTGGGACTTTGCGCCAATACATTTTGAACAGAACGGGGCTTTCCTGCCTCCTCCTGCACCTCTGTCCCTGCAAAGTCAAATTTGAGTGTTGGGACTCGAAACAGTGGTGCCAGAGGTGGTAGGGGAAGCTGTAATGGGAAGGGGGAATGGGAAAAATCAGGGACCCCCTCCCCTCCTTCATGCAGTAGATGAGGCTTCTGTGAGGAAACTTCTGCATCCAAATCTAAGAACTAAAATTGTGTTGGGTATAGGCTTGAAAAATGTTCTGATAATGAAGAAATCCTTTGGGTCCACGGACCAAGATCCAAAACATAGTACAGCTGGTTCTGAGCCCAGTTGGGTTTTAGCCTCTACTTCTTATTTAGAGCAGCCTGGTATGACACATGGCAAAATTAGAGTTTCAAAAGAAGTTTATTACATGTCATGGGTGCTGGCTGTTAAAAGAGTAAAAAAAAAAATCACTGAGCTAGCATAAATCACTTCTGTAAGCCTAATCATCTGGGTACCAGCTGTGGGTTCAAGTGCTAACTCTTAAGGGTCACATTGTAACCATTTTTGACACAGATATCTCGTCCATGCTGAAAAATCAGGTGTATACCACCAGGCATAGCAAATGCTTGTTTGTATTTTACCATATGTACCCGTGTTGAGAAGCCATGATTTGCAGTGGGTTCCATGTTTTCACAGCAAAGTAGGTATGCAGCAAAATAGGTGTGCATTTGTCATACTTTATGGTGTATTATTAACTTTTGTATATTGAAGTGGTACACACAGAAAAATTCCTTGCCCAATGTAGCCCTGTCACTTACGTGCACTAAAAAAAATCTTCAGAAGTCTTCTATGTACAGGTAAAATACTGAGAAACCATTATCTATCTGCTTATAATTTTTGATAGGTACTCATGGGTTTGGAAGAAACAAGGATTTCACATGGAAAACAAGTGTGATTGTATCCCTTTGATTATATAAGGTCTATGTGGTTCAGCTTCAAGAACTTAGTACTATAATGAGAAAAAATTGGTAAAATGGTAGCCCCCTTTCTGAACAACAACATCTTAAAGGGGAATGTTTTAAAAAGCAGAATAAATGGGACAGATGATGCCCAGTATTCAATCTTGTTCTGATATTTTTGTTGTGACAGTCATCAAAATGTTTGTGTCTCAAACTTTTATTAGTGCAAGTTTAAGCTTGCCCTGACACTGTTTTATAATGTAAATTCTGAAACTGAATTTGCTTTATGTTCCTTTAGTGAGCGAGGGATATCATTCTTGCATTATTAAGCTTCAAAAGTGGTGGAAGATCTGGTTGCCATTTTATCTCCTAGCTAGCCCACAAAATTAAGGAGTATTTGAGTGTACAAAGCTGCCTTGAACTTTATCAAACATTGATACATCTAATTTGTCTGGCAGCAGGCTTCCAGCATCTCAACTTGATTTCCCACCTTTCCTGTTTGATTGTTAACTGGAAGTGCTAGGGATTGAATCTGGTTATCTTCAGTATGGAAAACATGTATTCTACTATTGCCTTTTTTGTTGAATGCCAAGTTATATCATTTTTGAAACTGAAATTTGAAAATATGAAATACTTATTCATGTGTAATTACCTTGGCAAAATTGAAAAATACGTTATAATGGATTTTGAACACCTTCCTTGATCTCAACAGATTATATAAACTAAAAAACACATGTACACAGACAAAGTTTACATATGGCCCTAACATAACAAAAAAACAGAAACCATCCAACACAGTAATTGCAAATTATTTGTATCATGGAAATGTCCAAGACGTGGCCATAGTCTAACACAAAGTAACCCTCCCTTGTTGGCACTTTGCTGAGTGTGCTGCAGTGCCCCTAACCATTCCTAGTAAGTCTTAAGATGTCATACATTTACAAGTATACAGTGGCCCACTCTCCTGGCCGCCATATGTGACATCACTCCTGCTGGTGGTAGCTTTCACCAGGACAGGGGTAGGCTGGGTAGAATTCAGCTGCTGGGTGTATGCAAGTTAGGTACAGACCAATTATAGCATATCAGAAACTGGAAGGATGTATTGTAATATACTTAGTGTAGGGGCAGTATACATTGTGAATCTGGAGTTGGAGGGTGAAGGTTAAGGAAGGATACAATACTGTCTATGAAGAGCTTCTGTTCTGTGAATGGAAGATACTGGGTTATACACACAACTTTCTCTTCCAACTGGTACTCTGTATTTACCTTTCTAAATTTTTGCCCTTCCTCTACTAATTATGTTAGTACAGAACTTCCATGCATTATAACATTAAGGTTGCAGGATTATGCACATATTCTAGTAGTTATAACTAAAATCTTGAGTATGCAGGTGAAACTTTTTTTCAGTGCACGCAAGTCAGAAAATGCAACTGTGTCCTAAACAATCTTCTCCTGCCCACTCCCTTTTTCCTGGGAGCACAACTTAATCTATCCTATGAAAATTATCTAGTGTATATTTAGAGTTGCAGTGGTAATTTTGTCATAATTAATGCCTAGATCACTTAAATATTCAACAGAAGAAAGTTGCCGTTCATTTTCATCGAATGAGGCTGGAAGATCTTGTGTAAGATTCTTTAGCATGAGACATGCAGAAATACCTTTTTCAGTGAGTGCTTTAAAAAAGGGAGATGAGATAATTTTGTCTTCGTTTTGTGATAGATGGCTCTTTCCTTTACAGCCAAACGGGCAAAAAGTTAATGGCGAAGTGTCGAATGCTTATCCAGGAGAATCAAGAGCTTGGAAGGCAGCTGTCCCAAGGACGTATTGCACAACTTGAGGCAGAGTTGGCTTTACAGAAGAAATATAGTGAGGAGCTTAAAAGCAGTCAGGATGGTAAGGGATTTTTAAAAAAGAAAATAGAGAATTTCCTTGTATTTGTGTAGGCTTCATTCATGTTAAGATATCAGTGTTAACTATTCCTCTGTGCAAACATTTTTGGGGAAAAGGTATACTTTAAAACCCACGTACTCCAATGCAATATGCTGCAAACTCAAACAAGCAGCACAAAAGAAATACAAACTGCTGTAAAATTACTTGTTCCTTACCAAGATAAATGTATGATTTGCTTTTGACATATAAAACAAACTGGCTAGTATCTGAAAGGACGGTGCTGTTCTTTGGGTACCCCTGTTTTCTGAGGTGAGGTAGATAGTGACAAGCTCAGCTGCTTACTGGTAGTGCCCTGTTCCATTACCTTTCTAACTTTGGGGTTGCTTTGCCACCTCTACATTTAAGGGCCAGGTTTGCTTTGTTCTGTTTTGCTTTTCTTTTTGTTACTGCCTGCTCAGTGTTCTTGAAATCATAAAATAGTCCAGGCAGGTTATGAGTAAAGTTTGAAATAAATGACAGAAATATCAAAACAGTAATTAAAATTATTAACTACTGTTCAAATGCTTTTAACAATCCAGTGTCCTCCAGGCATGTTCTAGTATTCTGCCAAAGAACAATAATGCCAGTCATGGCTTCTGATGAGGGAATTCCATAGTTTAGGTTCCGCAGCTGTGAAAGGTTTGAGTTTAAACCTTCATTGGGTTGTTTTAGCTTGATTGCTGCTGTTTATTCAGTATTTTGAGATTTACCCCCTAGCTTTTAAAAACTGTGTGGTATTACTTTTTAACTGTTGGCTTTATTAATGATGAAATTAATGTGTATTTATGGCTGGTTTCTGATGAATCTAAAAAAGTTGTATAGAAATACTTTTAAATATATGAACTACTTGTGTGTCCAAGGGGTCTTTGTTACATGAACAGCACTTTCCATTGCTATATAGCAAGAGACTTTTGAAATAGTATAATTGCAAAAGCAGATTGTGATACACAATGGGCCTGCTTTTCAAATAAGGAAAAATATATAAAAATCCTACTGAAGCAAGACAAGCCTTTGGGCAACTAAAGTAGTTCTCTGGAGAATGACCACTGTTTGGTTTGTAAATTCTGCTATGTCCCAGTTCTGTTTATATTTTAAAAAGCCATTTACAGTACTTAAAGGACACTTCCAGAATTAAAGTGAGTATTGAGCTTGTGCTTGCATATGAATGTTGCCCTTGGCTTTATGTTGTTGCAAGTCCACATTGTTAGAATTTTTTATATGTTGAATCCAAAAAACATTGAACAACTCAGTTATTTTGTATTGAGAGTATCTCCAAGTATGTTTTTGACCGTAACTCAGAAGGGTATTTGAGCACCAAACTTCAAAACCTGCCTTTTTTCTGTTACGCCCTTCGTTACAACATTCACTTGTCCAAGGAGTTAATGCTTGGACTATTGCATAATCCAGTTGAGATTTGGTGATATTTTAATATCAAATTAGACCATTTAACCATTTTTAATTTATTTCTGAATATGGTGGCTATACACATTTATTTTAATTAGTGATACTTAATGGTTTAAGTATATTTAGTGCTCTGTTGTAATTTGGGGATGGTATATCTGAAATCTGCCAGTGAAGCCTATATCACTTCCCTGGTATTGAATAGAGGTGAAGGCCCAGGGAAAAATACTAGTGGGGAAAAATAGAGATTTTGGGGAGTCCAGAAAAAGGGTGTTGTTGTTTTTTTAAATGAGTGAGAGGTTCTACTCACTGAAAACATAGTGTGGAAATTTTAGTCTCAGTCTAGAGCTTTAGATGGTGATTCTTTATACAACATTTTCAAGCTGTTGTTCACTGCCCACAATTAATATGCTTTTAACTTGTATGATAAACCACTGAAGTGTTCAATGTTCTTAATGTTATGAAGTTTAACTCACTATTTAAAGATGTTGCCATTCCTAATGTGAGACTGTTTCTGTCCAAATAACACATTTAGGTTTGATACAAAATCTGTGTTCTTATTTTTCAACATTTTTTCTACCTCTGAAATGGCATAAATTAAGATACATGGTGCAGCAGTTTGTAGCACTTTATAGTATTGGATATATTTGCAGTTTTCCTTATAGAAAACGAAGGCATTTATGCTTTTAAGTATCATTAACATGTTAAGTAGTACAATGTTGTAAGCTAAGTTATAAACGATGTATTTTATATGGATGGAAATTCCAAAACTTGTGCCATTTCCAAGAAGGCCCTGTCCCTAGCATTACCTTCTAAACGTTTGGCGGTATTAGAGAATAAAGCAAGGTCTCTCCAGATGTTCTTGATATGTAGGCAGGCTCATGGTGTTTCAGGCACTACTTGAATTGCCTCTCCCAAACCATTTGGCTTGTAGTGAAGATATTAAAGTGATTAAGTGCACATCCACAGACCTGTGTTTCTTTTACTGAAGCAGGAGATTCCAATGAACAGGCCCGTAGCCAGGATTTTTTTGTTCAGGGGGGCATTTAAAATTACAGTTAAATTACATTTAAATTAATCTGAACGCCTGTCTTTAAAGGGGGAGGCTCTGAGCCTGTTTCTATCCCTTCCTTTCAAGGGGCAGGGCATTGAGCATATCAGTTCCTGGGGGGAAACAGCTCAGAGGCTTAAATGCCTTCTGAGTTCCCTTTCACAGGGCAAGAAAGCTTAGATGGCACTCAAGAACAGTACCTTCAATACATGTCAAATCCCCCCTTTCTGCTAGCCCAGTCCTGCTGTATACCACCTAGGTCATGGTGAGTCTTTCAAAAGCATCTCCATGAGCCTTTGGGAAATATATGCAAAAAGGGGGATTGTTGGAGATGTATGGAAGGTGCCGCTCTTGAGTGCCCTTCTAAGCTTTCTTGCACTGTGGAAGGGAATTCAAAAGGCTTTAAATGCTTTCTGAAGGCAATTAAACATCCTCTGAGTTGTCTTTCCCTCAGTCCCATGATGCCTCCCCCCCCCCAGTTCCACAGAGGGAGAGAAAGGGAAGCCCAAAGACTAGCTGCAGCAATCTCACCCTGGCCACTGCCAGCCGCAGGCACCGGGGGTCTCTCCTCAAAAGTAAGGTTTCTGGCATGGCTATTTGTGTGTGTATGGTAGTGGTGGGGGGTTAATTAAGGGGGAAGAGCCCTGAAATGCCCCACTGTAGCTACAGACCTGCCAGTGAACCCATAAAAAGTTTCTTCCCTGAAAAGACTTGTTCATGTTTTATATAGATATTCTCAGTTTGTGTACCTGATTCCAAAGTCAATACATGAGGGGTTTTTTTTGTAGAAGCTATAAAAGAATTGTGAACTAGAACAGCATATAGTGAGGAAGAAGCATATAACATGCTAGTCACAAATGTTCTATCCTGGAGATTTTTTAGGCACTACCTTCATGTTTTCAGACACAATTGTAGTGTATACTGGTTGCAAAATTCAGGCCCAGATACAACATTCTTTCCATGTGGATTTGCAGAAGCCTCATAGGCTTGAAGTATAATCCTTTTGCTTCCAGAGGGTAAGGCTGCAGTATTTCTGCTGTTGAGTTGAGTTTTGTTACCCTTTGTATATAAGTGCATTCAATCTGCCCAGTTACTAATTGTGGTGTCCTCACAGCAGGACTCTTAAAGGGAAATAATTTACTTAAGAATGCTGCCATCATGTTTGTGAGTGAAATAGACCTTGTACTAATACAAGAATGCTATTCTTAAGCATTCATTTATTTGTTATTTTTAGTCCGCCTTTCTCACTTGGGACAAGGTTATGTGGAGGTAGGTGACCATGTGATACAGATACGAGCTATTAAGTGTGTGTTCCAAATGTGTTTTCTCCATATAGAACTGAATGATTTCATCATCCAGCTCGATGAGGAAGTAGAAGGTATGCAGAGTACCATTCTAGTCCTACAGCAGCAACTGAAGGAGACTCGCCAGCAGTTGGTTCAATATCAGCAGCAGCAGTCGCAAACTTCAGCCCCAGGTACCAGCAGGACTCCGAATTCTGAAACCACAGATCAGGGAGAGGCCATGGGTAAAGACTGCAGTCGTCTGGCTAATGGACCAAGCAATGGCAACTCTTCCCATCAGAGGACATCTGGGCCTGGTTTTTATAGAGAGGGCAGTGGAACAGAGGATGATTTTCCACCCTCACCAAGCAATGGTAATAAGCTTTCCAACCACTCTGAAGATAGAACTGGCAGAGGATCTGGTAGCTATATAAATCAACTCAGTACTGGGTACGAAAGTGTAGACTCTCCCACTGGTAGTGAGAATTCTCTAACTCACCATTCAAATGACACAGACTCCAATCATGATCCTCAGGAGGAAAAAACAGTCAGTGTGAAAGGTAACAGAACTGCGGGGTCTCGTCATGTTCAGAATGGTTTGGACTCAAATGTAAATGTACAGGGTTCAGTTTTGTAACATTTTTTCTGCAATGTTTTTATAGTGTCGTTAAAATTGGGAGAAACTGTCCAGAACTGTTCAAATTAGTGCATATATGTCACAATTCTGCCTTCGTGGTTTTTTGCTTCAATACCTCTGCCACTTCTGAAATTTTAACAATTACGTTGAATGTTGCTAAAAGGAAGTTTGTGTAGGCCCAAGGTATTTTTTTGAGTTAATGTGAAGTTGAAAATGGAATTTATTTCCAGGTATAACAAAATGATGTCTGTACAAATTTGTGTATATCTAGAACTTGTGCTGTGTAAGGGCATTCTTTACTCATACTGTTATAACACTCTAAAAGTTGTCATAATAGTTGTGGGTCAATGACTGCCATGTTTGCCCAGTACAGTAGTTTTATAACTAAAAAGAACTTGGTGAAGGAGTCCTGTAGTAGTTTGTGTTCCAGTTTTGCCACATGCATCTGTGTGTTCTCTTTAGGTGACCGAATGTTTAAGAATTTTGTGTGCATAGTTACTCGGTTTAAGAACTGTTGTATCCTGTTAATGCATATTGCTCTGTGACTCCAATATTATCTTACCTGTACTGACCAAACCTAAATAAAGATTTTTAATAATGTAATTTAGTCCCCATGCGTTTGTCCTGTGCATATACTTTATTTGGGTTTCCCTTTGCTGCCTATATTGGCATATTTATTGTAATAAGAAAAGACATCTATTTAGATAAGATAAGCCTTATGGTGATCTTATCAGTAAATACAGGCTGCTCTTATGGATGGGGGTGCTTTCTGAACATTTTGAGCTAGTGAAATAAGCAATGACCATAATTTTTATTTATGTACTTCACATTTTCCCCCCAGTGGGGACCCAAATCATTTTATATTGTCCTCATTTCCATTTTATTCCCACAACAACCTTGTGGGGTAGGCTAGGCTGAGAGTGCGTGACCAGTCCAAGGTCACCCAGCAAGCTTCCATGGCAGAGTGGGGATTCAAACCTGAGTCTCCAAGATCCTAGACAGACATTCACAAAACAGGTAGCTCCCCTAAAAATGCTGTTGATCATTGGTCTTCAACATTTTCAGACCTGGAATCTACCTTTAACTCACAGGTGGCAGCATAGGAACAAGTGAGCTGCAAGCACATGACATCATACATGACATTACAGTACATGCAACAGTCAGGGGCTGCCAGAGTTAGGATCTCTCTGGTGTCAGGTGGACCAGGACCACAGGCAGCAGACCAGGAGAGCCTGGGACAGGAAACAAGCCAAGCCCCAGGAGGTGTACCATACTGAGGAACAATCCAATGGTCAGAATCACGGAAGAAACCACCACTAAGGAACCGCACCTTGCTGTACTGCTGCTTCTTCAGTGCATGTAGAGAGAAGCAGGAAGAGTGCTGTCTATGAAAAGAATGGATCGATAAGGGCTTGTGATTCAGTACAACCCCTCTGAGAGTTCCAACCGATGGGTAGAAAACCACTGTTGTTGGTGATGGTGTAATAACATGGTTACTGAATGTTCATTATTCGGCTCAGGATGTGTTTACACACTCTAAAGGTTAAGGTTGACTGTGTATAAATATCCTCTATCTGTAGCATATCATATCTGGTAAAGGTGCGACCTAGTGCTACAAGCATTGTTGCAAAGTGAACATTTTCCATAACTGAAACTCATAGCTAAACTCCGCTCTCACAATTGTGGATGATAGGGAAAAGGGCATTTGAGCAAAATTTTTAGGTGCAGTTATAGTTCAAAACCAGCATTGACTCATCAAATGCAACAAGTATAATTTCCGCTAAGAGTTGAATGGCTTCCCAAGAATTGCTGCAAGTGGTTAGGACATCTACATGTGAAACTGCTACATTTCAATTTGACAACGTACTACAGCAAGCTGTGTGTATATATTTACTTCACAGGCCACTTGTCTCGCTGAGAAGGTGGACAATGCAATCAGACATAAGGTATTAAATGAACAATACAATGTAACTAGGATTACAGAATTGGAAAACTTGAGTTCTCCTGACTTTGCTCATAGCTGTGTTACAGAAGCATCCACATGGCCTATCACACACTTTCCTGGTTTGATCAAAAATGGTACACTTGGTGGCCTTTGTGTTATGAAGAGTATTGTTGATCCATCAAAGCCTCAGTGTTGGTAAATCATGAATAGTCACCAGAGTTGGAGTAGGATGAGGTTTATTTCTTTAAGTGTTGGTGTTCTTGGCTTAAAATGACTCAGTGCTTTTTAAATGGAATGATGACCTTCATTAATGTATGCTTTTCTATGTAAAGAAAATTCTACATAAAACAGTACAAAGGTTCTTGTTGCTTATAATTTAATAACAAGCCAGGGACTGATAAGTTGCTCCAGGTGTAGACCATAGATACCTGTGTGAACTTTTTATTCCTGCTTTGTACTAGTTAACTACCATTGCATAAGTTATGCACTCTGCTGACCTAACTGTGTGCCAACATGGCCTGGGCCATGCTGCACTGGCCATACTTACAGTGTTGCCTGGCTCTGGACTCTTCCATGCTATTTGCTACATTACTCCCATGATTCTTCCCATAATTACTCCAGAATGGCTTTTGTTAGGAACTTTAAAAAGGACACTCATAAGGATGCAAGTTCTACCAATTATCGTTCTGAAATGTGAGCTTCCTATTCTGCTGCTGGTTAGAATATATCATCTATTGTCTTAAGCTTGTGAATGTGTGGATGAGTCAAGCAGTGCTTTAGACTCCCTTTCTGAAGGTTGGGCTTTTCTCCCTGTTTACTTTGGGTTTCAACCTTCAGTTTGGATTTCCTCGTTATAATCTCCCGTAACTGTTCTGTAAACAGACTCCTTAGACCAGGCTGTACTTATCACTGAGAAAGTAAATATAAGATCCATCATTGCAGACTGCAGCTGGGGTCTCACGAATGAGTGCTTTATAGAAAATTTGTATACCAGGAAGAGGGATTCTAGTCTAGCCTTCTGGCTGGCATGCTCATTTGCTTATGATAGAAATGCTGCTTTCTTAAGAAACTATTGCTTTATAATCCACCTGCCTGCAGACTAAAGTAATGCACTAGATACCTTGGATCACTGGACACTTCTGCACTGTCATTTTTGTCACTCATTTGTCCCTATTGCTTTGAGTCCCCCCCCTTTCCACATGTGCTTTGCTCCCTCTGGAACTACTAGAGAGAGAGCAAAACACATTGGGGGGGGGGATACCCTGAAGCCATAGGAACAAACAAGTGACAAAAATGACTGTGGAAGTGGCCACTGTGTAAGAACTAGAACCAGGTTTCATAAGGGTACTTAGTAATCAAGACCAGCTTATCTTGTCAAAGTTTTTTGGGGGTGGGGGGCAGGGTTCCCTCTAAGCTGAGTTAGTGTGAGCTAGCTCATAGTTTTTTAGCCTCCGGCTCACACATTTGTGTCTTGGCTCAGGAAGGATGGCTCCAGAGCAAACTGATTCATGCAGCAGCCAAATCGCTTGCTCACAACTTGAATGCCAGGAGCTCACAAAGTATAACTTTTGCTCACAAGACTTCACGGCTTAGAGAGAACATTGGTGGGAGGCGGTATTACTCTTACCTTAATGAGCCCCTTTTCTGCTGGTTCTCCCCTAACAGGTCTGACTTCCAGCTTCACCTTAAACCCTTGCCTTTAACAAGCATTCTAATATACCATTATATGTATTTTAGCACAGTATATATGCTGTTCCAGACCGTGTGTGTGTGTTTTATAAACATTTAAATATAGAGATGGTGTTTTCTATTCACCAGAGGCAGAATTACCGATACTGTTTAAGGTGGCTTGTTGTGGTGCATGTGCAATTAATTTCTACAGTTGCAATGCTTTGGAGATCCTGTAGCAGAAGGGCAGCAATACCTGAGGGGGCTACTGAGCCGCACTAAACGCAGAAATACTGCACCCTGACCATCTGAAGGTTAGGTTGTTGTTAAACTAGTTGGGGGGAAATGGTTGAAATTGAAATTGCATGTCATTGCAATTTGGAATGTGAAAATATTTTGTCAAATTCTTGAAATGCTCAATATATTTTTTTAAATGCCTAGGTTATTTGTTTTTTAAAACTATATTCCTGCCCTCATTGCTGAATTATGGGCTGCTTGTATGAATTAAAATTTGCATATACCTGTTCTGAGTAATTCAAGCAGAATTAACAAAAAGCTATTCAGGGCACTAAGGCCTGCACACAGAGGTACATGCACATCAGGAACATGATTTAGTGTCCTTCTTTCTGTAATGTCAGGATGCTGAGTTCTGCCCCCCGTTCCAAATTCTGTATTTTTGCTGCACTTATGGGTGTACATAGCAGTCATCCATGAATATTTCAAACAAGGAGAAAAATATGTTTAACTGACATGCATTCAGTCAGTCGCAGAAAGGTGCATCCTCCTCCCATTTTCCAGTTCCAGTTTAACCTGTAAGCGTAGGATGTTGAACTAAGAACTAAGACAGTATTCATGACGTCGTTTCAATTCAACAAATCTTTAGCCTGCTTTTACAAATGAAGCACACGCTGTTCTCGTGGACCATGACAACAACAAAAACAACCTCGGCACTTCATTCTTCACGAATCACGCGCAGGCTCCACCCCCAAGGAAGGCAGGTCGGCTGTAGCGGTGCAATAAACAAAGACTGGAGCATACGTCCGGAGCCCACAAATGACCCAAAGTCTTTTTCCGGCAGAAAGTCAATAGGGTTAACATTTCCTCCACAGAAAGATGCACTGAGGTAAAAACGCTTCCTGCGCTCCGTGTCATATTCATCCTGTCCTGAATGATGTAGCTACTGAAAAGCACAGGAACAAAGAACGACAGAAGGACGGGGATATCGCTATCCATTTCCCTTGTCCGCTTCCGACTCCTCAGCCCAGGCGCCTCTATTACTGGCTAACAGAAACCAGCTTCTCCCCGCCCTTGAGGCGTCGGCTAAGGGAGAAGAGAGAGGGTTGGACTACGCAGGCGCTTTGCTGACTTAAACAAGGCCGTCTGCGAGAAGGCTGGGCTAGAGGCGGCTCGGCGTGACAGAGGTGCTGAGCCTGGGCTTGGGGCTCGAGCTGTGTGCGTCAGACGCCCTTGCTTCGTCCTTGCCTTTCCCCCTCTAGACGCCGTCGCCGTTATGCTCTGCCGGCTGGTCTACCGGGGCAGGTGAGAACTTGGCAAAGGCCTGGACCGTAACCGTTCCTGGCCAAGGGCGACGTGTGGGCCGATCGAGAAAACAAGAGAGGCTGAGTACGGGAGGGGGAAAGGCGGGAGATTAGAAACCGGGCGAGAGGTGAAGGGACTGGAACGAATGGGGCAAAGCAGTCATGTGCTTGGAAGCCAGTTCGGTAAAACAGGAACTTTAATCGGGATTTAAGTTGAGTTAGGGCTGCTAATGTGGTGGAAATTGCAGGTAACTGTGTTGGTCCATAGGAAAAAAAAATCCAAAAGCGTTCTTCTTTGAACCAACTTAAATCCGTTAGGAGGATCATGTCTTTTCTTCCTAACCTCTGTCTCACGCTTAGTCCCCAGGAGGTTGTGGAAACCGTGAACAGGTGCGTGGAGGCAGTTCTGGGAGAGATGAAGGCTAGCAAACTGAAACTGAAACCTGACAAAAGGGAGATGCTACTGGTGGCGGGGAAGGTCTGACCCAAGAACTGACAACTCCTGTTCCCAGGCCCATGAATTCGTGGCTTGGAGTGGAGGTGTGTGGCCCCCGCTTCTCCTCCAAAGTGGCCCACACAAAGCATTTTGCTTTGGGGGATAAACGGGAGCTGCACCCCGATTTTTTAAAAGGCCCCCCAAACTAAAAAATCCTGGCGATGGGCCTGCCTATTCTGTAATGGGCTGCACTCCCCCTAAAGGAGCAGGTTCATAGCTTGGGGGCAGCGTTCCCTCTAAGCTGAGTTAGTGTGAGCTAGCTCACAGTTTTTTAGCCTCTGGCTCACACATTTTTGTCTTAGCTCAGTAAGGATGGCTCCGGAGCAGACTAATTTACGCAGTAGCCAAAGCACTCGCTCACAACTTTCATGCCAGTAGCTCATAAAGTAGAATTTTTGCTCACAAGGCTCCACAGCTTAGAGGGAACATTGCTTGGGGGGTGCTGCTGAACCCAGGCCTCTCCTGTTGGATAAACAAGCGGTGGTGGTGGTGGTTAGATGTGCCTTTTACCAGCTTTGGCTGGTGAGCAAGCTGCAGCCCTTCCTGGGCAGGAACGATGTAACACTATGATGCATGCCCTGGTAACATCTACATTAGGTTACTGCAGTGTACTCTATGAGGTGCTGCTCTTGAAGACTGTCCAGAAACTATGGTTGGTACAGAATTTTAGATGACTGGGTTGTAAGGGCCATATTTCTTCCATCTTGTTCCATCTGTACTGACTCCCAGTTTACTTCTGGGCTCAGTTCAAGGTGATGGCATTGACATTTAAAACTTAGGGCAACTATACCTTAAGGACTGCCTTCTTTTATACAGACCTAGCCATCCACTCCGGTCATCTTTGGAGGTCCTGCTTCGGGTAATGCTACCATCTGAGACTAGACGGTGGTAACCTGTGGAAGAGCCTTCGTGTTCGTGGTGTCAAACCTTTTGGGACTCTCTCCCTAGGGAGACTTGTCTGTCTCCCTCTATTGTTGTCTTCCACCATAAGATGAAAACTACATCAGATGAAGCAAACTTATTGTATATTACGAAGGAAAGTTTTTCTTGTGTTGAGTTTTCAGTTTCTCAGCAGACTGATATAAGGAGGAGATATGCCTGCTTGAGAAGTTGTGTTGCACACTTGTTTTACAGATCCTTAAGCACAGTAGCAGTTCTAAGCAATAGTGTTCAAGTTCCTATGTTTGTAGGTTTATGGTGTACCATCCAGATTTAGGGGCTGCCCTTCTTATGGACAGTGTAGTGGCATGCAAATTGTCGATACTTTAAAACTGTATGGTTTTATGTTTAGCAAATTTTCATCAGAAGTATGACTATTTCAATCCCTGCTATTTCTTTGGTTTATGCTACCTCTTATTTCTTGTACCATACTGCCTCCCACAGTTCACTGCCAGCAGTGACTCATAAGTAAAGTTTCTGTAACCCACTAGGACTTCCCTAACTGTTGTGTTAGACATGTGAGATCTGTTTTTATCTATCATTAGCATTCCATCTCTTGCTTGCTTACATTTGAGCAGTATGGTATCTTTGATTCTTCCACTTCATAATTATGCCATTTATGTATTATTAGTATTATTAATTAATAGCAATAACATGTATGATTACCCAAATCTTTAGTTGAAAGTTCAAGATATGGAGGTGTGCCATCCGGATATGGGAGACTTTCAGCTTCACCTCAGTGGGAAGAATAGCGATGTCGTCACTGTCGATTT